AGAGAGAGAGAGAGAGAGAGAGAGAGAGAGGAAGAGAGAGAGAGAGAGAGAGAAAGTGTGTTCTGGAGCTTGAACTCAGAGTCGGGGTGCTGACTCTTAGCTTTTTCACTCAAAGCTAAGCTAGTAATCTATTTGAGCCACAAACTCCACTTTTGGCTTGGTGGTTAACTGGAAGAGTCCCACAGACTTTCGTGCCCAGGCTGGCTTCAAGCTTTTATATTCACATCTCACTCTTCTGCATAGTGGGATTATAGGCATGAGCCACCAGTACTTGGCTCTCAAATAATTTTTAAAACAAATAAAAACTGCATGTAATATGAAGCCCTATATATACCCTCATGTTTTGCCCTGTTCAGTCCTTCCTACCCAGAAATAATCAGTATTCTATCTTGAATTTATCAGCTTCGTATTTTAATACTTTGTGTAAATGATTGTATACTTGGAAACCATACATAGACTCATCAGACATGTTCTCCATATTGTTTTAAACTTTATTGAAATAATGTAATCTTCTTTAACTTGCTCTTTGACTTCATGTTAAACAGGGGAGGGGTTCTGTTATAAAAGCAAGCCTTCCTTTTTGCTTCCTAATGCCACAAAGATGAGTGAGCTCCTCCACTGTCACCAACACAATGTTCTGCTTCATGAAAGGCCCTGCAGTGACAGCTAGCCATGGACTGAAGCTTTTGAATCTGTGTCTCAAAGTCAATCTTCCAGGGCTGGGAAGGTGGCTCAGTGGTAGAGCGCTTGCCTTGCATGCATGAGGCCCTGTGTTCGATTCCTCAGCACCACATAAGCAGAAAAAGTCAGAAGTGGCGCTGTGGCGCAAGTGTAGAGCACTAACCTTGAGCTGAAGAGCTGAGGGACAGTGCCCAGGCCCAGAATTCAGGCCCCACGACGGCCAAAAAAAAAAGTCAATCTTCCTTCCTTTTCAACTTATTTTCTCTGGTATTATATTACAGCAATGGAAAGCTCATTATGATGGCAATTATGAATGAAGCTGCTATAACCACCAGGTACATAGGTTTTCAGGGGGGCATACATTTTCAACTCATTTGAGCAAATACCAAGAGGTAAAGTTGTTGTCGTGCGGTAAGATTATATTTAGATTTGTCAGAAACTGCCAGACGTTTCCCAAAATGTTTTATCCCTTTTACTTTTCCACTACCAGTGTGTAAGGGTTCCCATTGTTCTACCTTCTCACCAGTGGTTGCCATTGTCTATATTTTGGATTTTAACTATTCTGTCGAGTTATTTCATATTGATTGTTTTAATTTACAACTCCCTAATGTCATGTGTTGAGTGGTTTTCTTTTTTTTCTGGCACTAGGGTGAACTCAAGGTCTCAAGTGTGCTTGGTAGGCACTCTATTGCTCAGGCATGCCTCCAGCCCTTTAACGCCTTGGTGAAATTGCTTCTTTTTCAGGCATGTATCTGGATCATGCTCTCTCTATTTAAGCTTTCCAAAACAGCTTACAATTGATGACAAGCATAGGCCACCACCCCTGGCTTCCTCTGTTGAGATGGAGTCTCGTGGACTTTTCTGCTTGGGCTGGCCTGGAACACTGATCTACCAACTAGCTACAAGAAGGTTTGGGTGCACCACTATGCCAAGGTATGGGTTGAGAAAGGATCTTGTGATCTTTTCTGCCTAGGCTGACCTCAAACCACCATCCTCCCATTTTCAGCCTCCTAAATGGATAGGATTACAGGCATGGGCTACTGGCATCTGACTTTTTTTTTCTTCCCTCATGTTTTGTCATATTGGTTCAAGTATACGTCTGAATATTTTTCATACTTTTAAATCAGGTTTCTTCTTTTCCTTCCTTCCTTCTTTCCTTCCTTCCTTCTTTTCTTTCTTTCTTTCTTTGTCAGTCATGGAGCTTGAACTCTGGGCCAAGGCAAGGGCTCTACCGCTTGAGCCACAGTGCCACTTTGGTTTTCTAGTGGTCTATTGCAGATAAGAGTCTCCCAGACTTTCCTGCCCGGGATGGCTTTGAACTGTGATCCTTAGATCTCAGCCTCATGAGTAGCTAGAATTACAGGCGTGAGCCACCGGTGTCCGGCTCTTATTTTCTTATTGATGAATTTTAAGTTTCTTTTGGATAACCCTCCTTTATCAAATATGTCTTTTGCGAATATTTTTTCTGGTCTGTGATTTGTGTTATCCTCTTGATGTTATCTTTTATATAGCAGAAGTTCTTAATTTTGTTGAAATCTAACTTATTTTTTCCTTTTGTGGGCCAAGCCTTTGGAATTCTAGCCAAATCTAAGGTTGTCAAGATTTTACCTTATGTTGGAAAGCTTAATATATTTTTAAGTTCATGAAATCACTAGCGTATGCTAATAAAAACATCATTAAAAAATAAGCCAGGTTTTGGTGGCTCATGCCTATAATTCTAGCTACTCAGGAGATGGAGATCTGAGGATCGTGGTTCAAAGCCAGCCCAGGCAGGAAAGTCTGTGAGACTCTTAGCCTCTTATCTCCAATTAACCACCAGAAAACTGGAAGTGATGCTGTGGTTCAAGTGCTCACCTTGAGCTGAAGAGCTCAGGGACAGCACCCAGGCCCAAAGTTCAAGGCCTACAACAGACAAAAACAAACAAAATCCCCGAAAAAAAAAACAAAACAATCTTCATACATGCTTTTGAATGGTTTCAGGAAAAATATTTATATGAAAGTAAAAATTAATGGCCCTTGTAATGAAAATCATGACATTATTTTAGGAAATGATTATATTATGAAATGATTTAAAGATTTGTATTGTTTTCTGGAGCCTGTGAGACAGCATTCTTACTTAAACAAAGACATAAAAGTATGAAATGTGGCTGGGAAGGCGGCTCAGTGGTAGAGCACTTGCCTTGCATGCCTGAGGCCCTGAGTTTGATTCCTCAGCACCACATAAGCAAAAAGAAAAAAGCCAGAAGTGGCGCTGTGGCTCAAGTGGTAGAGTGCTAGCCTTGAGCTGAAGAGCTGAGGGACAGTGCCCAGGCCCAGAGTTCAGGCCCCATGACTGGACCCCCCCCAAAAAAAGTATGAAATATTGGAGTACATATGTGATCAGCAAATATTCCTATTTGCCCTGAAAATCAGACATATGGCAGTCAAGTTGTAGAAAAAAAAATTGAAATGGCACTTGGGCATAAGGGACTTGAACAATGAGGGCCTAGAGATTATGAACTATTCACTCAGCATTTTTGTTGTTTTGAGACAGGGTTTCACTATGTATCTCAACCTCCTGAGCTATATGAACCTCCTGCCTCACCTCCCATTACTCTTAGGTTTTAAGCAGATGAAATAATATAGCATAATGATTAAGGACCTGAGTTCCAGACTCAAACAAACCTGGTTTATAACCTGCTTCTGCCAGTTATGTTTCCTTTTCATGATTACTAATCTTTTTTTTATTTTTGTCTTCTTTGATATATTTTATTGTTAGTGTAGAGGTGATATACTGAGGGGTGACAGTTAAATAAGTCAGGTGAAGAATACAATTCTCTTTGAACCATGTCTCCCCTTCTCTTACTCTCTCCCAGTTTTTCCTTCCTGTCACCACTCACAAAATATTCAGTTCATCTCACACATAATGTCTAGTGAGTACCACTGTTGTATTTGTTCACCCTTTGTTCCACCTTTTCTGTGCCCCTGTTACCTTCCCAAAGACAAACAAACAAAAGAAAACCAAAACAGCAACAGCAGTAACTAAAAAAAATTCTCATTTCCTTTTCTTAGCATTCATTTCATAAAATATTCTTTTATATGATCATATGCACATAGCTACTGAGTCTTTGTGATCTGCTCCTA